AGCAGGAAACTACACTGTGCAGGAACACACAGGGCCCTCTGGACCGCATTTTGTGGGCCCACCACGGCTAACATGCCTATTCCCCTGGCCGGTTAGGTGCCTGCAGACCACACCCCACAGAGACCCTGAGGAGGGGGCCACACCCATGGGGCTTTCTCCCAGCGTTTCCGGCCTTTCTCTTCCTTCATCCTTTTCCCATTGTAAATGGTGCAGGTTCCAGAAATCTGCAACAGGTAGAGAGCTGGAAGCAGGCCCGGACCATCTCCTAGCCAATAACTGCTGGAACAACCCATCTTGGGAACAAAACTGATGCTACAAATAGTTACTCTAGGGAGGGGCTTAACAAGAGGGAAGTAAGGGCAATTCAAACCGGCGACAGGATGCTAAGCCCCGGCTCGGAGCCAAGGTCTGGGGGCAGTAACTAGCAGTAAACTCAAGCCCGCTTTCCACCAAACAGCCAAATGGATAGAATTTTAAAGACTGACTCTTCCCAGTAGCCCTGGACCACCATTAGAGCAAACCAAAGCCACTGGTATTATGCCAAAGGTGAAGGGTTTTGGGGGCCAAAGAAGGAAAGCTTAAGAATCTGACCTATTCCTATTAGGAGGGCAAGGCAATGTGGGCCTCTTTTTGTTTTAAAATGTACTTGCTAAAAATACCAATATTGCAGATGGAGAGAAAATGCTGTACCACAAGGAATCCCAGGCCCTACCACACATTTTAGTTATGAAGGACCAGAAGATACAGATGTCCTTTACAGCGGTTTCCAGGCAAACCCCATGCTCCTTTCAATCTGTAAAGAGTAAGACACTGGCTGTGATGTGACTGAGAAAGGGCTGGTCGGTACCTGCTCTGACTCTGCATCACCGTGACATCCAGGTGGCTCATGTCACCAGCAGCTCCGGGCAGCTGGGGTTAAACGTTCACGTATAAAACAGACAGAACAACAGGACTGTGGTAGGGACTAAAGATGGTATTTTATTACGTGAAAGTATTGGCCAAATGTGAGTAGTATAACTTCTGAAAGGTCATTCTTCTCCCTGCTCAGCTTGCAAATGATCAAATTTTCTCACTGTCGTCCATCTGTTGCCCAAAATGTGGATAAAAAAGAGCAAGGAAAGGGACTTCCCTGGCGGTCCAGTGGTTAGGACTCCGCGCTTTCACTGTCGAGGGCACAGGTTCAATCCCTGGTTGGGGAACTAAGATCCCACAAGCCACGCAGCACGGGCAAAAAAAAAAAAAAAAGAGAGATAGCAAGGAAAGAGACACGAGGAACCCTCACAAGCCCATCCTGCTCTGATCCCCAGGCTCATCAGAAGCGCAACAAACCTGGAGAAGGTACAAGCCACGGTCAGAGATCGCTAGCATGCGCCCCAATCTTTGCTGAATGAATGCGCCAATGAAAGAATAAAGTTGAGACTCAAAACAGAGAGAAATGGAGCTGGAAAAGCCTTTGGAAATTCCCAGGGTTGCACTGAAAGACTGTAGTTTGGGCTTTATGTTTCCCAGAATGTTCTACCGTTTGGGAGTGGTTTGATTTTGTAAACACAGGATACACTGTCTCTCTTTATTCAGGTAACCTGCGGCACCGAACGGGAAAAAAAAAAAAAAAAAAAGAGAGATAGCAAGGAAAGAGACACGAGGAACCCTCACAAGCCCATCCTGCTCTGATCCCCAGGCTCATCAGAAGCGCAACAAACCTGGAGAAGGTACAAGCCACGGTCAGAGATCGCTAGCATGCGCCCCAATCTTTGCTGAATGAATGCGCCAATGAAAGAATAAAGTTGAGACTCAAAACAGAGAGAAATGGAGCTGGAAAAGCCTTTGGAAATTCCCAGGGTTGCACTGAAAGACTGTAGTTTGGGCTTTATGTTTCCCAGAATGTTCTACCGTTTGGGAGTGGTTTGATTTTGTAAACACAGGATACACTGTCTCTCTTTATTCAGGTAACCTGCGGCACCTTCAAACCAATTACCCTGAGCTTCTGATCTGTCTGTCTGCCCCAATCCTGCGAAAGCACTCCAGGCCCAAATGGCAGGAAAACGCAGAAAATTAGCCCTGGCTTCCTAAATGCTCTCCCTCCCTCAGCCACATTCTTCTGCACTCACTCATTTGTTATTTATTTCCCAAACCTTTCCTGCAACGGGCATTTGAGTGTCTCAAGTACAATGGCCCGGTTCATACAAACATTATCATCATGGCTAAAATTTCACGATTTCACTCCACAGCTTAACTCCTGGGGAATAGAGATCTTCTTGCTGCAACCCCAGGGCAGCCCATCAGCCAAGCTGTCCCGCCTCCCCAGCAATGGAAGCACGGGTTAACCAGCCTGTCTACACTGACAGTCGCTCCCCTCCCTCCCTTCCATCCCATGCCATAAATTCAGCCTCGGGGACACTGAGACAAAAGCCAAGGTGCACTGATTGCCATGGTTGCCAGCTACTGAGATAGCCCATAATTACCTTTGGTAAACAGCCCTTTACAAGCCCAGTGCACATTACTATTCCTTTTTTTTTTTTTTTTAAAGAGACAGAAACACTACATGTGTGAGAAAATGTTGGCCAAGCAGAAATGTCAGCGTTTTGGTTTTTCTTTTTTTAAAATTTCAATGGCAGCTACTTAAGAATAAAATCCTCCCCACCCCCAAGCCATCCCACACCCTCCACCACAGCCAATGCACAGCCCACCGGAGGCAGAGAGCGGCCTGCAGGAGATTCTGGATACCTCACCACCACCAGAGATGCCCAGAAAACTGCCTGCAAAATCAGGAACAGAATCCCAGGTTTCCAGTTCCTAGTCTGCTGCTAGCACCATCGCTGTGTGCTTGGGTATCTCAAGTTCATGCCCAATTTAAATCCAGTAGCCTCACTAGTAGGACCTCCAGTATTCGCCTTCATTTTCATTTACAAACGGCAGAGGGGGGCGGAGGGAGGGATCAAAGTGGTTGAGTTTCTTTTCTGCCTCCTTTCTTTCTTTCTTTCTTTTTTCTGGCCCTGCCTTGCAGCATGTGGGATCCTAGTTCCCCAACCCAGGATCAAACCCAAACTGAGATCAAACCCATGCCGCCTGCAATGGAAGCATGGAGTCTTAACCACTGGACCACCAGGGAAGTCCCTCTGCCTCCTTTCTGACTTCCACCTTGGGTTGGGGTGCAGGGCCCAGCTCACGTTCCTTTCCACCTCTCTCATGATCACTGCCCTAAATCTTTGTATCCTTACCTCCTACCTAGAACAATGATCCCCATCCTTTTGCAGTGAGGGGATACTTGGCTTCTCATCTGATACCTCTGAACTGACAAATCAAACCAGGTGGAAGGAAGTGGGCTGGGGAGAGGAATAAAGAGGCTGTTGGACCCCCAACAGTGAGTGGGGAGGGGAGAGGACCAGTCTGCAATCAAGGAGTTAAACTTCACTGCCAACCTGTTGGGTACCCAGGCTGCAAGCAGCTCCGTTCCCTCATTAAATCTGAGCTTCCGCTTCCAAATAGATCACCTATCATTCAAGACACTTCACATTGCAGGAGGTGAGGAATTTCTGCCCCAAGTCTATCAATCACATCCTTCTTTGTCACTTTCACAGCATTTTTCACAGGAGAAAAACCTTAAAATGCAAACAAGCTGCGAGTTCTTTAAGCAGAAATGAAATAAACGCATGATCATAAATACACAATGAGCATCCTGAATCTAGAAAAGGATTTAGCTTCCTAAGAAAGATTCCCCTCCTTCCTCCCAGTCCACTGCCCCATTTTCATTGCTCTCCAGTTCGCCAGTGTTTTTGTCTCTCATCACAAATGCCAGAGGGCCAAACAGCTGCTTGGTCTGTGATGCAATCGGTTTTCTTTTTATAGTGAAAGGTCTATGAGGTTTTCTTGAAGATTTACAACAAAGTCCCCCGGTACCAGTATCCCAAAGCCACTGCATTCAGTCTCCTAACAGGCAAAATATTCTAGAAGAAACCTGCAAACAGAAGTCCCAGCCAGGCATTACGCACAGCCCACCCAGAAACGGTCCACAGGCACCCAGGAACCAGTGGTTAGGAAGCACCATCAGTTACGATAACTCGCTTTGCTCCCACTGGTCCAAACCCTGTGTTGAGAGATTGTACTCACATCCGGGGGTCTGTCCTCCCCGTTCTACATCGTGTTCTGTTGCTGGAAAACCACGGTCAGTTCTTTCCTGGAGAGATCATTAGCTTCCTAGGGCTGTTACGCCCAAGGGTCTGCAGTGATTTACGTTACAGTGCTTGCTGCCTTTTCCCCTTGAGCTTCCTCTGCCAGTACTGGCCAGATCACGTCTAAAAGCTTAGTAAGACATCCATTCAGCTCGCAATGTTTGGTGGCTTCCTAGTCTCCCTGGCACAGAAGTCCTGGGTCTTCAGACTTTGTTGGACTGCTCCCTCCTGCCAGCAGAGGACCTGTAACACTGGTCTGATCAGAGTCAGGGAATGATTCACAGATGGGCGGAGTGCTTTTGGAATGATGCTCAGATGACAGAGAAACGAAGTTTGTATTCTTTCAGCAGTAAT